CAGGGTGTTGTGTACGAGACAATGGGATTCCACTCGCTACCAGCCTACTCTACTGGCGGTACCATCCATCTTATTGTGAACAACCAAATTGGTTTCACAACCGATCCCCGTTTCGCTCGTTCTACTCCTTACTGCTCCGATATTGCCAAATCTATTGATGCCCCAATCTTCCACGTCAATGCTGATGATGTTGAGGGTCTGAATTTCATCTGTCAATTGGCGGCAGAATGGCGTGCGACCTTTAAGAAGGATGTTGTTATCGATATTGTCTGTTATCGAAAGTACGGTCACAACGAGACCGATCAGCCAAGTTTCACTCAGCCATACATGTACAAGAAGATTGCGCAACACGATTCACAGCTGAAGCAGTACGTGAAGCAATTGGTTGATGAAGGAAGCTTCACTACTGAGGATATTGAAGAGCACAAGTTATGGTAAGTAAAACCCGCATTCAAAAGTGTGCTCGGCTAACCTGTGGGCTTCGTATCTAGGGTGTGGGGTCTATTGGAAGAGAGCTTCTCGAAGTCGAGGGATTATCAGCCTAATGCCCGGGAATGGTTGACCAGTGCCTGGAACGGTAAGTTTATCCCTCGGGTCAACTCGGGACTTGCTAATCAAAATCAGGGTTCAAATCTCCCAAGGAACTTGCTACGGAGATCCTCCCACATCTCCCTACGAACGTTGACAAGGAGACTCTTTCCCACATCGCCAATGTAATTTCTGCTGCGCCTAAAGGATTCCAGGTCCACAAGAACTTGCAACGTATTCTCGCAAACAGGAAGAAGACGGTTGAAGAGGGTAAGGGTATCGACTGGGCTACTGCCGAAGCTCTTGCTTTCGGATCCCTTCTAAAGGAAGGAAAGCATGTCAGACTGTCTGGTCAGGATGTTGAACGTGGTACTTTCTCTCAGAGGCACGCCGTTTTGCACGACCAGGAGAACGAGGAAACCTACACCCCACTACAGCACATTTCCAAGGATCAGGCACCTTTCGTTGTATCAAACTCCTCTTTGAGTGAGTTCGGTGTCCTAGGGTTTGAATACGGTTATTCTCTTTCCTCGCCAGAGGCACTTGTCATCTGGGAGGCACAATTCGGAGATTTCGCCAACAATGCTCAATGTATCATTGATCAATTCATTGCTTCTGGAGAGACCAAGTGGTTGCAGAGGTCTGGTATTGTCCTCTCTCTTCCTCATGGCTACGATGGACAAGGACCAGAGCACTCTTCTGGTAGGATAGAACGATTCTTGCAGCTTTGCAATGAGGATCCTCGTATCTTCCCATCACCCCAAAAGCTTGAGCGACAACACCAAGATTGCAACATGCAGGTTGCCTACATGACCGAGCCTGCCAATTTGTTCCACGTCTTGAGGAGGCAAATGCACAGGCAGTTCCGAAAGCGTATGTCTTCTTCCTATACTAGTATTCTGTTTCCCCTGTACTGATCACCGCGCTATAGCACTCATCCTCTTTTTCTCTAAGGCTCTCCTCCGTCATCCTCTCGCTCGCTCCAACCTTGAGGACTTCAGCGAAGAGACTCACTTTAAATGGGTCATACCAGACCCAGAACACGGAAACATCATCAAATCTCCAGAAGGGTGCACTCGCATGCTCATCTGCTCTGGTCAGGTCTACGCTGCCCTCCACAAACACCGTGCTGCCAACAACATTGACAACATTGCCATCACCCGTGTTGAGCAACTTCACCCCTTCCCATATGCTCAGCTCAGGGATACCCTTGACCAGTACCCCAACTTGAAGGAAGTTGTCTGGACCCAAGAGGAGCCTATTAACGCTGGTGCTTGGAGCTTTGCTCAACCAAAGATGGATACTATCCTTAGAAATACAAAGCACCATGCAAACAAGAATGTTAGATATGCGGGACGATCACCAAGTGCCTCTGTGGCGACTGGCATGAAGGTGACGCATGTCAAGGAGGAGCAGGAATTATTGAACACTGCTTTGGGACTAAAGGAGCTCGGGGATTAGAGCATTATCTTCATTTGTTGGGAGAAATTGCATTGCGAGTACTGTGAGGGAAACAAATGGAGAAAATTGGTTTGATTTGATTTGACTTGAGATATAAATGGTAGCCTCTGAGTCGAACATTAGCTAGAAATTTATTAATGGCGAAGTTTTAGAGGTAGAAACATTCTCTGCTCATTTTTTTCCATATATATCATTGCGTGTTCTGCTGTTATGGTCTCTATACTCTGTCTCTTTCTTGTGCATATCACCCCTTTTTTTTGGTGACTTACAAATATATTTACGTTAGTGATGTTCTCGTACCCAGAATTATATACCTTCTATCGTTCCTAATCCGACTGCTTTTTTTGCATAGGGCTGGGACTGTGTCAAGGGTAACGCCACTGCTGGAGAAGGTTGTTTGCTGCAAGAAAAGAGGCTCTATGGATATAAAGGATGTAATTATAAGGTTTTGCTGACACCATGTAGGACGAAAGTTCACGATTACGCTCAACGGCCCTTGGTTGAGCATTCAAGACAAAATGCTCAATCTCGTTAAATCACCAGGATGACTTTCGAGCTCGACCTAGTGAATCACATACGTACAGTTATATATATCTTCCGTCTTGGGCCATTTGATTCTACTTTCACAAGAACAAACTTGACGCTAAGTAGCCATGGTATACATGTACACTAATAACTTCATGGCAACATCAACTGCAGGGAAGATTACCCTGAACTACCCGTGTTTGTTTGGGGCCCTTTTATATCCATACATTCTTTTTTTTTAATGGACGGGTAGACCTAAAAAGGTGTGTGTTTTCACTGGATCACTAGTTACGTGTCAGATTGGAGGAATGCTCAAACTATTGTCAAAATGTCCGTCAGATTTACCATTGTTTGTACGACTTAGCGTTTGCCAGTGCCCCGTAAAATGTAAGCATTTTTAATCAACAGTAAGCTGTCAGCGGGAAAGGTCATGAACCATTTTGCCACCCAGATTTGTTACAATTATGAATTTATTAAAAAATATCCGCCCACTCTGATCACCTGATCACCGGGGTGTCTGGGTCTGACTGATAAGTCCGCATCAGCTGCACAAAGTTTCCGGGTGAGTAATGAGTATTTAGAAAAAAATTAAAAAAAAATTGATGATTTCAAACAAACGTGTCAGAATATGTAATCTTGCATTGCCTGGAAAATTTGCGGTTGCTATGTCAATGCCGGAGGAACAGCCTCCGGATCTAAATATATACCGGTGAGTTGGATGCTGGGATTAAATAAATATAAGCAGCCATCTGGAAGCCTGTTCGATGTGATACTTGCAATGAACCTTAGTAGGCACGTAAGACATACAGCTGTCGAGATCTAGAGTTGCAAAATATTATCACAGAATCTCATGCCAACGGCAAGATGCCCTCTCGACAGATGCCTTCATTTATAGCCAAGGAAGAACTATCGAAGCTCGGATATAACCCTGAAGTTGAGAAACTGCGAGAAACTGCGAGAAATTGAATTTCCATTCCTGAAAGGTATTGCTATATCTCGAAAAGATATTCTGAGCTATGTTTTTACTGACGATTCGTCTATACATAGATGCCACATACCTTGATCATAATGGGGCAACCCTCTACCCAACTTCCTTCAAAGACCAAACTGCTTCCACATGAAAAACCCATTTCCTCGGAAACCCACACTCAGGCTCCCCTTCATCGATGCTTGCGACTAAACATGTAGAAGACGTCGGGCGAGAAATTCTCACCTTGTTCAACGCGAGCAAATTGGAATGGGACGTTGTCTTCGTAGCAAATGCCACAGCGGCAATTAAAGTGGTTGCGGATGCATTCAATGGGGCAGCAGGGTTGGGGGGGTAAAAGAATGGGAGGGGATTTATTTATCGATACCATAGAGATGCGCATACGAGTTTAGTTGGTGTTAGGCAGTTAGCTGGGGAATGGGATTTTTTTTGAAAAAGATGAGTCGTGGTTAAACACGGGGCTTGTAAAGAAGAGGGAGGAGAAAAAAAGTTGGGATTTATCTTGCCTTGGACGATTAACAACACCGAAGTTGACACCACCAGCATTATTCGCCTACCCAGCACAATCAAACCTTACAGGACGCCGACTGCCTTTACAATGGGCCCACTTCACATTACTTGATGCCGCAGCTCTCCTCATGACAAAGCTTCTCGATCTTCAAAATCCAGCTACCTCCCTGGACTACATCACCTGCTCCTTCTATAAAATTTTTGGCATGCCCGACCTAGGGGCCATCATCGTCAAGCGTGGTCCTGCAGCTGATATTCTCCGAAAAAGAAAATATTTTGGAGGGGGAACAGTTAATACACTCTTAACCGGCACTGATTATCATTCACTTAAACTAGGTCATCCACATTGAAGTCTAGAAGACGGGACGGTGCCATTTCATAGTATATCAATGCTTGGAGTGGCTATTAGGCGACACCAATTTCTCTCATCGCTAAGCCATTCAAATGGAGCAGAGGTTGTGGAGTTCTATTCCACTCCAGAATTGCTCGACTCCACACGGCAGGGCCCAATACTGAGTTTCAACCTCAAAGACCCCCATGGAGGCTACGTTGGCTTCCTCGAAGTGGAGAAACGTGCAGCAGCAGAAAATATACATATCCGTGTTGGTGGAAACTGCAATCCGGGAGGGGTACAGTGGCATTGTGGATTCAAGGAAAGTGAATTAAAACGGATATACATATATCATGGGGGAAAAGGCTTGCGGGGATAATGTAGACTTGGTAGGTGGGAGGCTGTAGGAGTGGTAATGTGGTGGGGGGGTTAGTCTGGCTCATTGGGTATTGAACTGAAGTAATGACCAGGTTCGGTTTTCATTTCATTGCGAAGCACAGGGCAAGAGCAAAAAAGGTTTTCCGCCCAAATAATTGTGCATTCTATCAGGATAGTCATGGAAGAAGCATTATACGACTAATTACCTCTAAATCTATATGGCCCATAACTCATACTTGTATATTAATTATCTAGGCAACAAAAAAGCAAAAAGATTAATTCCGCACCGGGGAGTCGAACCCCGGTCTCCGAGGAGCTCACCTTCTTTTGTGAATGAAAGCTCGGTATGCTAGCCGTTACACCAGTGCGGATTGATATGCTACACAAATTGGAGTTATATAATTTAGGCCTTCTTAACTTATCACTTTATCTTTAAAAAAAACTAATATAATAGAACAGAAGTCACCGCCATTTGCTCATTCAATAAAAACTTGCTTTTGGATTATCTCCGCCATTATATTCGAAAATTAATCCCTTTACTACCTTAAAGTGGTAGACTGCGAATGATGAGTAAAATGTCAATCCTTCCGGTTTGGGAATCTTGCATATGCAATGACTATGCACCGTATGCAGCTTGGCATTATTCAGCTCCAAAACGGGTTGCAATGGCAATGCAGCCATGTGAGGGTCTGATCGAGACTACAGCCATGTAGGATAAATTTTTACCTTTACTGTTGCCTTAGTCTGGTTGGCTGTACCTACTCTGTCCCGTCCAAAATGTGTCTTGCGGAGTACTTATGCCAAGCCTGATGCATACGCCAAGTTACTCCGCATTGGCGAAGTAGCCTCATACTTTAGCAGACGCTGCATACAGCGACATAGGGACAATTAAGACGTTCTGCACCCAAAGAAGCTACTCAGGGTAGGAGGCGAGCAATAGTAAAGGCAAAGGGAATCACTAAATGGCTGGTATAAAATGCATTGTCATTAGAACGCGTTTTGGAGCTGAATATGCCAAGCTGCATGCACATTGCATATGCAAGATTCCTAAACCGGAAGGAGGAAAAGACTTTTGGTGTGAGCCTCCGTATCAATAGTTCTTTTGACCGTGATATGCTTTTCATGTGACTTTAACAAGCTTATGCCATGTTGTTTGTTTCCCTCATAGCTCTTCCTGATTCTCTTCCATGCATGCTACTGACCATGAGCCGCTGCATTGTGGTATGAGGGTATTACGCGATGAATATGGAATTCTGTAGGCGTCACAGAGTTCTCTTGTAGCCATGACAGGAGGGTTATTGGAAGGTTTTCTGAGAGTAACATATGTATATACTCTCCAGTTCATACCCTTTTGACCAACGCTCTATATAAATACATAAAGGGATATAACACAGTCGGGAGAAGGTATTTGCTGTAGGATAGAAGAGAGTGGAATTACGCAATGACTGGTGATGGATTTCCCTATGATAGCTATTATCATGTTCCATTCACCCCAATTAGTTTTTGCATTTCCATACAGTTCTTACAGTGTTGTCGAGTCTTTTACAGTTGTTTTAGGATAGTTGACAGGCAGGGGGTCGACCGCTCCCAATGAAGGTTCCGTCAAAGTTTCTAGCCTAAGGCTGATTAAGGCATAATAGACTGGGGAAAAAAAAAAAAAAAGGAGATTAACACGGATGCCACAACAGAATATCCGCGAGAGAAACGCCCCAGAACTCTGCGAACAGAGGTCCTTTGGGAGATTTTGTGGTTCGTATTAATATGTAAAACAAATAAGATATTCTTGCTCTGAATCGCAAGACGATCAAATCAATCCAAAAGCCGATATCGGAAGCCCTTTGGTTCGTGAGTTCTCGCAAGCACTCAGTTCGTCAACGTTGATGCGGTGCCTGCTCTTGCCTGTTCCAATTGCATTTCGACCCAACCATAGCCATTAGACTGTCTGGGGCCCCCAACAGGATTCAACATTCATGACTAACAGGTGATAAGAAGTGAACGGCGAGTTGCAATACTTCGTAACCTGATACCCAAGGCCCTCAGGGTCTAGCCAGGACCACTGAAATTGCTCTCGAGTCGCTTTGAAATACGAAAGGAAAATAAGACCAGCGTCCCCCTGACTAACCAAGGTGCAGCGACATTTTGTAGCAAGCAACCTTCCATGCTTCCACTGCTTCACCGCCTGCCTCGCCCCCTCGCCGGAGACTCGCGCCCGAGAGGTGACCTGTCAGCCTAGCTAGCGCTTGCACTTTCATAGGTCTGGTTCGCCATCCCAGTAGCTAGGCAGTCGGTTGGTTTTTAGGAGAATATCCGATAGCTTAATCCCCTCTTCCATCAACAGGTTACCCCGTTGATATCTGGCTGTCAGGGTGCCAGCTTCCCTGAGGGATCGCACCGCCCACCGATCCCGAGGGCTATGATGAGGTTGGTCGGCAGTGGAAGAAAACGATGGTCAGCATTCGAAACAAGGACCAGGCAGTTTGCGAGGAAATATAACGAGAAAAGTAGAAAACGGATGCATGGAGGTTGGTAACCCATGTGAGAAAGATGTAAACAGTTTATAGTCGGCAACGTAGGCAATGGCTATAAGGCAAGATGACTTTGGAACGCGCGTAAGAAAGGATAGTACACCAAAAGTCTTTTCCTCCTTCCAGTTTGGTAAATCTTACATACTCATGCAGCTTGGCATTATTCAGTTGCAATGGCAATTAATTGGTTTGATGCTGCGAGTAAACAGGTGTATCAGCTTGATCATAGGGAGCTACATATATCTCTAAGTTTGGCCTTCCTCAATGAGTAGCTACCCAAGGAGAGGAAGTGAATGCATGAGAGGTAGGTATTCATGGTGGTATTAAATATTATGGTTACCATTATGAGAAAGAAACAACAACAAATCATCATTAATCAACAGACAAGAAACGAGGCTCAACAAGCTCGAGGTTCTATCTCGGCACATGTGCTCGTCAGATACTGTCTCACTCACGTCATTCAAATACTCCTTTAAAGCATAGGAGAGGTCCTCCTGGACACCTTCTAGAACAGGTGTGTCACTTCCATCGTCATCGAAAGCCCAATCACCCATATCGGGTATGCTGGATGCTCCTGCTGCTCTCACTACTACCCTCATTACAGCTGCATGTAGAACCAACAGGTCAGGATGAGGCAACGGGTGGCTGAGAGGGTCGGTCGTAGTGAGTGAGAACACAAACCCTGTCTCAACTGAGATAAAGTGTGTATCCTGCCCCTGTCCTACTCGCTGCCGAAGCTGTCGAGGGCTCCGGGATACTACAGCGTCGGTGAGCGTCTCATCCTCATCCTCAAGCTGTTAAACTCCTCTGAGTCAAGTCTCACATTCTGTACACCCTATTAGCTGTGTCCAAAACAGAAACATGAACTTGCCCAGTAACTTGCGGAGGTTAATTTTGGAGGGACCCAAGAAAATTTTACTTTCATAGGACCATAACTGCCCATGATCCCCGAGGCAGGCGAGTGGATCTCCCACAGGCTCCAAAACAAACAACCCGCGTCCAAACTTAGTATGATTGGCGGGATCCAAGCAGACTAGAATTCCAATCGATTGATTCTTGTCTGCCCCCTAGCATCAGTTAAATTGAATAGATATTCCATCAGCCGCCTGACAACCTATGGACCGGCCAGGAATGTTTAGAAATTGGAAGACATCTGGCCTCGCTTCTTCGAACAACCTCGGGTATCTTCCAATTGAATATGGGACGATGTGGGCTACCTCTGGGTCGGATGATAGTGATAAAACACACAAGTTATTATCCCGTTCCCTGTTATAGATACAGCTTATATTAGCAAGCATTCCTTATGTGAAACTGCTGATGCAAAGTTACCTTACCAGTTAATTGCCCAGGAGGATCTCAACGTTGCTGTGTCACTCGCTGATGAACCACTGCTCCTACCGCCTTGAGCTTGCCCTATTGATATTTCAGCTGATGTATTGCTTGGGATATTCAACTTTTACATTGTCTCACTGTGAAGAGTCTCCTTGAACACCTTGAAGCATCTAGAAGATCAGGCCGAGACTGCCAGAGGCCAAAGACTCTAGAGACCTGTCTCCTTTCCGTGATACAAACCTTCCCACAGCTTCGGATCTCTACCGATGCACCAACTGTAGGTAGGACTTCTGTGAGTATGAAAAGCATGTCATTTCTAAGTCTATGTGACAATAGTCACCGAGCTCTATACCCAAACTAGGCTAGAGCGACATGTAACACCTAATGCAGAAGTATACGCAGCCACATGTGGTACAGAGTACCACATTCTGTTGATGTACTGGCAATCCTCATTGCTCGCATGAGCCAGGAGGTTATAGTTACATATTACCTAAAAAAAACCCTGGTTGTTTCCACTGGGAACAGCTGCAAGGTAGTCGTTATCCGGTAATGAGCGAGCAGACATGCTGGCAAAAGAAGGGGCGGAGGAATTATTCCCCGAAGAACCCCAAATCGTGGTTAGGTGGGGAAGGAAGGCAAGGCTCAACTAGTTTGTTGAGTTCGGGCCTTGAGTGAGACGCTGACGGTGTCTTCTCCTTGCTATCCTTTACTAGTAGAGCCTCTCCGGAAGCACCGTTGAGGAATTACCTTACGTACTAGTATTGAATGTAGCAAGGATGTTGGCACCGACAGATGTTGGCACCGACAGAGGGTTGTGTTGTGTTGAGGTTGTCGAAGAGGGGACGGGAAGTAAGAAAGGATACGAAAGTTAGGGAGGCTAAGCGTTTTGTGGGCCAAGGTTGCCATGGCAGTCACGAAGAGGGGGTTATTTCTTTATTTCGTTAACGCAATCCGTTGTTCCGTGGATTTACCAAGCCTTTTAAGGGGAGGGAACGGAGCCGTCTCATAGCCTTAGGCTGCATAGACGTATAGACTTCAAAAAAAAAAAAAAAAAAAAGGTAGTCGTTATGTGGGCTCTGTGTCGTGGGCCGAGAGGGGACGGTCCTAGAGCACTCTGAGGCAAAAGGTGGGTACTGTATTGATGGTGGGGTATATTTCAAATGTAGCTGAAGTTGCGCAAATCTATGCCACAATAAAATGCTTGTTGGCTGGGCACAAGATGCGAGAACTGGTCACGGAGTGGATTCATGATGTAATTATGTATATTGTGGTATAAATCTATGGCAATGAGCAAGCCGACAGATTAGCTAAGCAAGGAGCAGCGGAGCGGGTGAAGGGGGTAATTACAGAAGCAGGGGTCAAGCAGGCCTGGAACAAGAAGAGACAGGCCAGCCGGAAGGTAGTGGGAACGGGATGGGAAGAGTATTGAAGTGGAACTGGAAGGCACGCCTCAATTATACACAAGTAGGACCGGGAAGGGAAAACTGCAAGTGTGGAGACACGTCCTGGATCCC